AATACTTCTCTCATCTTCTAAGACAGTATAAGTTGCTTTTAGGCTAAAATTAGTAGACTTGCTATTGCTTACACTGTTAAATTCAGAAAACAGGCAGATGCTTTGCAAGTAGGAAAAAAACAATCTCTCGACTGTGTTTTTAAGATACTGAGAAGGCCATGCTTACTGACAAGAAGGCTCTAAACTGGCAATACTAAGATTGCCTGTACCAGGGTCATCATTTTCCTACAGTGTTATTGTTTCCCTTGTCCTACAAGCAGGACGAAAGTCAAGTTTAAAGTTTCTTAAGTCAACACAGTGCTGCCAATGAATGTGAAGGTCAGAAGGCAAAAGGTTAGGCTCAGAGTTGGCGAACTATACCTGGTAGCATAAACCCACCCCACCATCTGCTTTATAAAAAGAACATTCTGGAACACAGCCGTGCCCACTCTGCATGCTCAGTGACTATAGAGTCGAGTACTTCTGACAGACACCACCATATGACCTACAAGGCATAAAATATACACTTATCATTCTGTTTTAAAGGAAGCTTGTTGACCTTTGGAGACTAGACTATTCTAAAATGATGATTGAACAGTTTAGTTCAGTCCTCTGAATTTCAGATGATAGAAAACAGATTCCCAGGTCATTGAGAATTGACCATTCCAGCCTGGCAGCATGGGTCTGAATGAAAAAGATAGATTTTCCACTCATTTTGCAGCACTGAGGAAATGCTAACAGTGGGCAGACCTGGAGACCTTGGCGGGAATTTGGGTCTGGGGGTGTGTGGCATATGAAGTATTAACCCAAAATTTAAAGCACAGAATATGAAGAAGCCCAGATATCAGAGCACAAACATGAAATATACTGTAGTTTTTATACTGATATGATAAGATACCATGATCAAGGCAACTTATAGAAGAAAGGGTTTATTTGGGGTTTACGGTTTCTGAGGGTTAGAATCAATATCATCATATCAAGGAGTACTGGGCATGGCAGGAGGCTTTAGGAGCCTCAAATACTATCCCATGACACACCTTCTCTAGCAAGGCCACTCCTCCATATTTTTCCCAAATAATTCCATCAGCTGGGGACCAAGTATTCAAATATTTGGCCTATGTGGGTCATTCTCATTCAAACCACCCTAAGGTCAAAAACGAGTGAGAAAAGTCTGTGAATAACAGAAAGGTTCTGTAGCTGTATGTCAGTCGATGTCTTATTAAGAAACACAGGTTTCCTGAGATTAAGACTAACTGAAGATAATTTGAGGAAAGTTCAGGCTTACATGATTGATAGAGTGTAGCAGAATCCCACATCGAACTAAAACTGTGGGTTCTAACCCCATCACCCCCACTCTTACTCATGGAAATAAAACCAACTTTTTATTTTCATGCATGACAAATAGAAGAAAAAGGCTGGGATGGTATCCCTGAGGCATTTCTTCTTTCTCATTATTTATTTGTTTGTTTGTTTATTTATTTGTGGTAAGTATTATAACCATGGCTTCATTCTTCTTAGACGAGACACTTTGGTGAACTGAAAATAATTATAGTGGACTTGTTTTCTTAAATGAATCTGTCTCTTCAACTATCATATACTTTGAGACCAAATTTATTCTCTTTCTGAACTAGAAAAAAAAGTTAGAATGGGCTGGATTTATCTGTTTCCAAGGGAATAAAAGCTGTCTTCAGAAACCTGCTTTGCCTTTCTCATTTCAATTTCTATTTTTAGACAATTGCACACACACAAAATTTTAAAAACAGTACCTACGAACTTCATTATCTCTAAAAGTGTCAAGCATTACTGAACTCAGAAGCCTGTTTCATAGTCAACATTTTTACCAGAATAAATTAATTTGTGAGTATATATTTATTACTCATCCTTTAAACATTTACTAAACATATACCACTTGCTTACTTCTTGAGGCACCAGAAGCACAAAAACTCCTCTTTTGATTGGCTCATGAGCTTCACGAAGGACAGATAAACAATAACAGATTTGGTGTGGTAACTTAATTATTGCATATTCAACGTATCATGGGAATAATTTTGTCATAGTTCTGACAGCAAAGTTTTTATTAGTAATGTTGCTCTAACAGTCAGGAGTAACATATTTGGTAGGTGAACTTAGAAAGGAGAAAAAGCATTCTGTTGAGTAGCCGGTGAATGGATAATGAAAACGTATACATATACAGTGTACCTTTATTCAACTGTAAAGGAAAAGGAATTCATGAAATTTGCAGGAAAATGGATGCAACTGGAAAACATTATTTGAAGTAACACAGGCTCCGAGAGACCAATAGCATATGTTCTCTCCCATGAGAATCCTAGCCTCTAGCTATTGAGTATGTGCATCCAGGTGGGAGCAAACATGGGTAAAAGCCAGAAAACTAGAAAGGACCCATGTGCCTGGAGAGAAGGGGACTTTGAAGTGGGGAAGACAACGGAAGAAGCTGAAGTGGGGAATGCTGGGGTTGAAAGGATCCACTGGGGACAAGAAGGACTGAGATGCAGGCTGAGTAGGTGTTTGGGAGTAATTATCCCAAACAAAATGTGTTTGAAAACTCTACATAAACCTTACTTTGTAAGCTAATTTAAAAAGGGGAAAATAAATATTTTTCAGTGTTGATTGCCAGTGACAGCGGAGTCTTCCAAGAGACCATGCTAAGCAAAGGGAGTCTATTCATACTACGGGAAAGATAAGACACGGTTTGTCTCACGTTTATGTCTAGAGATGAGCATAGAAAGGTGAGGGCTGGAATTCGTTACTACTCACATTGCCATCTGTCTTCATAGTATCCTTTTTACTACATGGACTCAAATGCACTAGGGTGATGGGTGAGTGGGCGATGGAAGAAGCCAGATGGGGAATTGGGAGGCTTGTGGTTGTCAGCTGTTTTCCTTGCCTATTCTTAGGAAAGAAAATCTCCAGCTTACAACCAAATTCGCATTAGTAGCTACAATTTGCAGGGGGCCATACATGCTAGGCACAGTCACGTGCTTTGTGTACATTACCACAGCTAGTCCCCCTGAATTTCTCACACTCCCCCCGACAGGGAAATTTTATTCTAGAACTCCCCATTCTGAGTCCTACAGTAGAAGCAGTAGAGAGGGATTCCATTTGTTTTGCAATTCCAAATTCCCCTTTGACCTTGAAGTTACTTGATGCTTTCAGTTGGCAAAGCAGAGCCAGAGAGGTAGATGGCTCGGCAGGTAAAGGTGTCTGCAGCCAAGCTAAACTTGGTTTGATCCCTAGGATCCATATATTGTGGAGGGTGAGAACTGACTCCCAACAGTTGTTCTCTGGCTTCCAGATAAGATATGTCAGGAGTGCCTATACATATACAAACACCCCGATAGTAAACAAGCAAACAAATAAGTAAATGAGATAGAAAAGAATTTAAAAGTTGGTGAATTGGTTGTCCCTGATGGCAGGTTTAAACACCATCCCTTCCTTCCCTGACAAAACTGGCCACGAAGGACTTGCTTGCTCTTAGCGCAAGGTAGGGATACCTGCTACCCTGCCCCAAGGAAGCACGGTGGCTGGCCCTGTTAATACAAGCACCTTGAAATTTCTATGAAATTTCTGAGTAGGGTCTGGGGGGCAGGGAAAGGCCGATCTGGGTTGAATGTTTCTGAATAGTACAATAGCAAACAAATAAACAACAAACAACTGAACAAACCAGACATGTGTAGGAGTCCCAAATACACCACAGAGGTTTTGTTGGAGAACCTGATCTCTCTGCTGGGTAGATGGAGACTCGGAGTCACTGCCCTTCAAGCAAAGAACTCAGCCCTGTTCTCAATGGACCTCAGGGGAAAGTGACTGTGCCACCTGTGGTCCTTCCTGGACATGCTCTCTTTACAAACATCTTCCACCCTGGAGTTCTTCCTTTCAGTTTTTTTTTTCTCCTGAACTTTGCTTTTGTTTGTGGTATTTACACACGCTGTTTTCTCTCCTCCGTGTGTGTCCTAGGATTTGATCTAATTGTCCTGCTGTTCAAGTGTCACTTGGCATTATTATTGGGATGATGAATGGGACGCAGGTCAGAGTTCAGCGAGAAGGCATCTGCTTGCTTGCAGTGCATAGTGGGAGTGCTCCGAAGTGATCTTTAATGAAAGCTTGGAAACCATTTGCCAGAGGAGGCCGCGCTCCTGGCTTCTTTCTTGGGGGGCGCAGAAATCAAGTGAGCAGAAGAGAGGAAGGAGTACCTTTCCAGAAGGTGGCATGTTTGGGGTGCTTTTTTTCTAGAGTAGGGGAGAAGATGGGGGTATGTGTGCTGCTGTGCCACTGAAGAGTGAAAGGAAAGCGGAAGCTTTGGAAAGGATACTAACCCTTTGCCTGTTTTGTGTACCGAACATTACTGAAGAAGTTTCCACTCCACTTGCAAAGCCTCTCGCCCTCTGGTGTCCTGTGGCCTCAGGTTACTGAGCCTTTGCAGGCTCAAATTCTCTTGCTGGATTCTCTTCAGTTGACAGTTCTTCTGCCGGCCGCGTAGCAGAGGGGCCAGAAGCACCAATTGATGGAAGCCAACAATTGCTTTGGCACTGGAGACAGACAAGTGGGACAATGACTGCATTGTTCTTTTTTTTTTTTTTTTTTTTTTTTTTTTGCCCTCTTGAGTAGGCAAGAGAATTCGCCGTCGAATTTTGACACCGAAGGAGACTGAATCCAGGGTTCATAGCGATTCACCTTACCTCCTCTCCCCATTATGTGTCTTTCTGTCCTGAAGCCATCAAAGCTGTTTGGGAGACTCGGGGGCTGCCTACCCCACCCGTTGCTAGACAGAGTGGAGTTGGCAGGGGGAAGAAGGAAAGGCAAGATGCTCCTTTTAGTCCTGCAGCCTTGTGGATCCCTGGGCAGATGTCACGCGCTGGCCCCTGGGATTGCTTGATCAAGGACTAAAAATATCCAAGGCAAGAAGAACGCGGTGCTACCCAAGACTGGTAGCAGAAGCGGCTCGTTGTAGGTGGGTGGGGATCCCGCTACAGACTTCCAGCGTGCGGGAGCCCGGGAGTCCCCGAGCAGGGAGCACCTAGGCAGCGGGATTCCCCGGGCTGCCTTCCAGCAATCCCGCTGAGCCCTGGTTGCTCCCGGGGCACAACCTTGCAGGCTTCACGCCCCAGCTCTCGAGAGCAAGCTCTGTGCCCCTCTCTGAGCATGCGCGGCCCTCTCTCCGCCTCTCCGCACCCCACCATACCCCCTCCTCGCCGGCCTTTTGCTCCTTCCCTTTCATTAAACAAACCAGAGATCCCAAAACCCAAAACCAGGACCCAAAGGCGACAGGAGGCGGCAGAGGAGGCAGAACTCGGGATGATCGCTGAGGGGGATCTGTGATCCCTCGCACCCCCGCCTCACCCCCCTCCGCGCGCACACACACATGCACACTCACACACGCGCACACGCGCACACACGCACAGACACACATATCACACAAACACACACTCGCACACGCCCGCGCCGCGCGCTCGCCCGCTCGCTCTCCCACGCAGGCGAAATGCAGCAGCGCCCGGGGAGCTTGTCTGCAGCCGCTGCCTGAATGCACCTCGCTGTCCGCAGCCGGGCCGCCCAATAGGGCGCAAGGGAGAAGCTTGGCTGCCTGAGGTGAGTGTGGCGCCTGCAGCTCGGGGGATAGCTGAGCCTGGGCAGCCGGGGGTGAAGGGGCGGGTTCCCGACTCAAAGACGCCGTGCAGGTGGCCCCAGCCTGGCTTGCGGGTTTCAAGGTGCAGATGAAGGTAGTGCCCTGGTTGTTTCAGGGTGGACAGGGCGATCCCAGGGAGAGTCGATTCCTGCGAGGTGCCAGATGGAACCCGAAGAAAGCTACCCGGTCCACGCTCGTAAACTTTCCTCTCCTGTCATTTGGCAAACGTGGAGACAAAGGGGGCGTGGAGGCGCTCTCTCTGTCCGGTTCCGCCCTACAGAGTGCATTCTGGGCTGGAAAGCCCAGCGGCATCGCGGGGGTGGGCGTGGGGGTCCGGAGCCTTGCAGGTAGTTGATGTCTAACCCGCCCACCCAACAGGGCTTGAGATTTCTCAGCTCCTAGCCGTAAGCGTTGCCATTGATTTGCTTCAGGCATGGGCACCTGCCAGAGGTTCTCTTTCCTGAGCTCTAGGCACATAGTAACGGTGTCACCTGGAGAATTGGGATAGCCATGGGCTTTCTCATGGGTACCAGTGACAGAGTTTCTAGGGTGAGGCTCGGGTCAGCGCCGGATGAATGATGAGTTACTGAAAGGCTTGGTATAATCACCTTCTAGAAACGCAGGGCCTCAGGGTCTCTGCTCTGGGGGCGGGAGGGGGGAAAGGGGGAAAAGAGGAGGGAGGTCTATCTTCACACACACACACACACACACACACACACACACACACACACACACCACTGCAGCAGCTCTAGGGTCTGGACTGAAACAGCCGTGGTGGCAGCTGTGTCGAGCCAATCTGGGAATTTATTTTTGTCCTGGATTTCGTGGCACACACGTGTGGAATATGTGTAGGATTCGGGGTTGTTATTTGTCTTTGTGGTTTTGTCGCTTTTACGTTCAACCTTTCTGTGGAGACGCTTTGCCACCTACCACCTGGCCACCTAGCTGGTGGACTGCCGGGGCTGTGTTGCTCTTTTGCACCAGGGAAAAGGTCCTGAGAAAAGAATTTCCTTTCAAAAAGCCAGCTCCAGCTAAGGGAGTTCCCAGAGAGCAAAGGGCTGGCTGGCACCTGGGGAAAGCCTGGAATCCAAGGGCCTTTGGAAGTAGCCAACACTGGGTCAGCAGGTGAGGCCAGGACAAAGAGGAACAGAAAGAGGGGCAAATCAGCGGTGTGAAGTGAATTAAGGCAGGATGAAGCCCAGTGCCTGGCAAGGGAAAGTCAGTATTGAATTCCTTCTCGTTTCTGGGGCTGTGGCAGGCAGTTCCTGTTCATGGGATGGGCTCTTTGGAGATGCCTGCCGTGCCCTATCTAGAACATAGAAGACTATGTTGTCGCCAGACTCGCCTTTATCGTAATCACAAGTTGGTTTTTTAGGTGTAGGAAGTGTATGTGTGGAAGTTTCTCCGTTCTGCTGTGTTTGTGACAGGAAGGTGGGGTGGATGCACGTGAGTGCAGGTTTGTCTCTTCTGTAAGCCAGAAGTCTGGACTTTGTAAGGGAAGCCAAGCTGGCGCCGACCGGAGACACGCTGGAAACTGGCATCTAGGATCTCCACTGGGTGATAGTCACGGGGTTTTTCTCACTTCCAGATGGCAAGTAGAGGCCACCTCCCCTCCCGCCCTGCTGCTTCCAACAGGGAACAGTTTTGCTTTGAAAACATTGGGACTTTGAAATGGGAGAAACTGTGGCCTATATGAGCTTCAATGAGGAAGTTCACAGGTGAGATCTTGCTCCTAAGCGCAGCTAGAAGAAGGAGGTTTGGAGAAGAAAGGAAAAATGAAAGGGGGGGGATTGAGAAAGGGAAACATAGGATTAAAATAGCCTGGCTTTATGACTCTATTAAAAAGGGTTCTAGGTGAAAGGAATCTGAAGTGTTTTTATTTTTGTCCCTTTTCAAATAACTGGGGAAGAAAAGACCTTCCCAGAAATATTTTCCAGTTGAAACTGGCAATGATTGTCAGTCTATGCTCCCCCCCCCCCGCCCATTTCTTTTTACTTCAGGGTAACAGTCTCATCGTTATTCTCAAAAATCTTAGCAAAAAAAGATGAACATGTCCCCCCTCCCCCCCGGATTCTTATCTGCTCTGCTCTGGTCCTTTCCTCTTCCTTCGTTTGTAAATCACTCGGATTCTGTTGATAGGCGCTTATGGACCACATGTCCTGCGTTTAGTACCAGATGCCACCTACAAATATAGAACATAGTTCTGGCCCTCAAAGTGTTTACAGTGCTGTGGTAAAGCTGAGACAGACACACAGGAAGCAGCCAGAGAGCAGCATCTCTGCTTGGTACTGAGTTCTGGACATGTGAACTGTACACTCTGCTCCCTCCCTCTGGGTTTCCTCAACGTTTCTAAAACGCGTGTTGGGACTTGTTGCCGGAGCCAGGAAGGAACAAAATAAAACAATCAGAATGCAAGAAGGTGAAAGCTGGTTCAATCCTTCGAGGAGGATGTGACTAACTTATTGATACAGTATAAGCAAGGTGCCAGTGGTGTTCGAGAGACAGTGATCTGCTTTTCTTCGCCTGGGGAAATTTAGGTGCTCCTTGAGACACTTGTAAAAAAATGAATACTCTTTACACGGGGGGAGGGGAGGTTGAAAAGTCATTCCAGGCAGAGGAAGCCTGTGACTGCTTGATATAAATTGGGTAACTGTAAGTCATCCCACGTGACTGGAGAGAGAGGAAAGAATAGCATGTTTGTGATACAAATTAACAACTGATGCTATGGGGTGAGTGTTTGTACAGAGATATGGTCAAGACGCTAAGAAAGCGCAGAGGCAGAGCTTCCAGCAAGGGGAAGGTGGGAGATCAAAGGTTTCTTAGGGAGTCTGACGTGAGATGAGTCTTGAGCAATGACATGAAGAAGAGAAAGACTTGCCATACGGAAAGAGTATGGAGCCCCAGAAGGGATTTTGTGTGGCTGCAGCAAGCGACGCAGGGTCTTATCTCCTAGGAGTGGAATAACAGCATGTCCGAGAAATAAGCAGGAGTCACGTGTGGCTGGGATCCCCCCCATCCCCATCCCCAAGCAAAAAGAGCTTCAATTTTATGGAAAAGCCTAGAAGCCTTTGAAGGCTGGAAAAGTTTGAGATGTGATCAGATATGCATTGGAGAATGATGGCCATGACCGCGGCGTGGAGGATGAATTGGGGACGGTGGGGCTGCAGGCCTGGGGCTCATTGTGGGATTATCAGTGTGAAATGACGGGGATGGTGAAGCAGCGCTGGGGAGGAGATGTATCTGGGCAATGGGAGATGGAAGTAAAGCCTGCAGTTCTCCTTCTGGGGGCCCCTGCGTTGCCCTCCTCTCCCTCCGCGTTCACTGCTGAGATTTGTGTTCTGAAGGCAGGGCATTCATGGCTGCGTCTTCCATGTTCAGCACAGAGCTGCTATAAAGCAGAGATTCACACACATGCTTGGAATGGATGATTGAATATGTGGATGAGAAGTTCAGCCGCAAAGTAATAACTCTGCGTTAGGAAAACAGGGGTTAACTCTCTGCCTGTGCTTCTCCAAGGGGTCCACTTTTGGAGGCCAGTGACGAAAGTGTTCTCGGCAGACTACAGATTAAAACAAGAACACATTTTCTCAGCCTAATCTGTGAAGAAATGCCACGTCTTCACAGAGCCACTGTGAGCGGCATTGAACCATCATTTTAGAACATGCATTGAAGAAATTAGGTTACAGGCAGACCTTGGAGGCAGTGACAGTAACACACAATTAGTTCCTGGCATGTCATACCCCATTTCCCTTGCTTGTCAAAATATCCTTATTTATTGAATTTACTATAAACTTTATAAATACGTTGAGACGCAAGGCTCCGAAGCTCTAGAGTGTCATTTGAAAAGCTCATGGCATCTTGGCATCCTTGGATCCTAGCCAGACACCCATTATCTAGACACCGACAGTGCAACTTGGGGGGGCTATGCATCTTAATGACCCAAGTCCACATAACTCGAGTTGCAATATGAAGGTTCCAGTAGGAGACATCGGCTGGAAGCCAAGCAGAATTTGTTCTCAGACTGACCACTGCGCTGAAGGAAAAACAGCATTCCAGACAGCTCTGCACAGTTGATAATTTGGTAGCTGGACAGGTGATGGCAAAGGAGGGAGAGGAAGGTTAGCCATGAAAGGTAAATGGGGTTCTGTTTTACAGAAGTGGATTTGGGGATATCTCTGGAACGTCTTTGAAAGTCCTGAAGCGTATCTCAGTGTACTGTGATGTAAAGGTCAACCCTTGTTTGCTCTAAGCAGGAGGACAGAAAGGAGACCATCAATCCAGAGATAAAAACCTCAAAACTTAGTCACAGGTAGGGATAAAAGAGAGAATCAAGCTCCAGTATAGAATGTAGGAATGGGCTTCTCAGACAAGGTAGGAAAGAATTAACATGAAAACAAAAAGCCTAGGGGAACTATGAGAGGGATAGTCAGACACCAGAGATGCGCCTTGGGTCAGGCCTTGCATCAGGACCCAGACATAGAATCTGATTTGCAGTGTGCATGAGTCGTTTTGCCTTGGTACTGAGATGGGTCTAGCAGCTTCCCTGTGACATATTGACCTGGTGAGCACTAGGACCAGCTCCCAGACATAACTATGGCTATCCTGTAATCTATAGTCTTTCATGGAATGTGTCATTGGCCAGGATGGCTTTAAGTGAGGAGGGATGCAGGGATCGGAAGTAGAGAACTGCAGAGAAACAGTGAAAAGGCTTCCCTGGTGGCAGTCAGAAAGGCAGCTTTGTACAGCAGTGTGCTCAGAAGTCATATTTCAGGGTCCAGAGGGGAGTGGAGGGAGAGCATCCAGGCATGTGCATCTATCTGTCATTTATGAAGTCTGGCGGTGGAAAGAGTTATGGGACCATTGGGAGAAGATGCGGTGAGCTAGCAGCAAGTTCTTATCGAGGAGAAGCAGATGGAGAGAGGTGGCGCTCAGGAACAAAAGGTGCAGGGGCTGAGAGCTGAGA